AATCTATACAAATAGCTTCAGATTTATAGAAAATTAGTCTTTAATTAGCCCTATACACTATCTCAGGATCTTTACACTACCATCTCTGCTAGGAACACTTTTTTCCCCTATCAATCCTTGGATTTATTACTAAACCAACACACTAATGAAGAAGAAACACCAACAGAAAGAGAAAAATCATCTTCCAGGGAAACACATCCAACTGTTCAGACAGTAATGATGCTCTCAGAGTAACATGGTAAAAGGTAACTAACCTTGACACCGTGTGCCACTTTATAGGTGAGGTTCCTTACAGACCCAGCCTTGTTCTTCTACTATGTCTTCTCTTGGAGTTGTACCTGATTTTATTACCCTTTTCATTCGAATCCACTGAAGAATTGGATGATTCTTTTGTTTCATGACCAGGAATCACTTGATCCTGAAAGTCTTGTGAAAAGGCATGACGAGGAGCAAATCCAACCACACACAGGATGGTGGAGACGAGAAGACAGTTGCCAGGAACACCCTTGTGTTCTATGCTTCTACTAGATAAACTCTTTACCTGTCTTTCAGGTCTTAGCTGCAATATCATGTCTTTATAAGACAACTTCTGTGAACCTCACAGACAACTTCCATGAATTTCTTCCAAATTCTCTATCATAGAGCCTGGTTTGTTCTTTTTTCAAGCACTTTATGTGACTTTGTTATTAAATGTTCACTTCTAAATTTAACATCTATGTTCCCCCTGAATGTAAATTTCATGAGATTAGAAATTGTGCCTATTTTTGTTCACAAAAGGCTATTTTTATTATGATAGACAGATAAAAGGCTGAAGATTAATATTTACCTGGAAGGAAGAGCTCTCACTAAATGACAATGAAATGACATCAGGTTAACACTTAAGATGAGCTTAGGTTTTAAATAGGCAATTTACAGAAGAGCTAATAATCACATGAAAAGATGATCAAACCTATTAACAAGCTTGTACTCTCACACCATATGTACAAATATATCTCAGGTATATTTTAAAAATAAAGAAAAATAACATTTAGATGTTGTGGTAGAAAGAATAACAACCCCTCAAAGATGTCTACACCCTAACTCCTGGAACCTATAAATATATTATCTCACACAGCAAAAGGACTTCAGAGATATGATTAAGGACCTTGAGCACCTTGAGGGAAATTATCCTGTATTATCCAGGTAGGACCAACCACATAGATCTTGGAAACTGAAGAATCTTTCTTGGTTGAATTAGAGAGATGAAGACCAGAGAAGAAGGGGGAAAAATGTGAACATTAGAAGGACCTGACAGGCCAGTGATGGCTTTGAAGGTGAAGAAAGGAGAAAGGCAAGGAATGTGGTTGACCTCTAGAAGCTGAGAACATCCCTCCGTGGGAAACCGACAAGGAAATGGAGGTCCTGCAGCACAATAAAGTAAATTCTGCCAACAACTCAAATGAGCAAGGAAACAGATTCTCCCTAGAGCCTCCAGAAAGGAATGCAGCATTCACAATGCCTTGATTTCAGCCCAGTGAAACCTCTGTGTATGTGACTTCTGACCTATTACAAATTGTAAGATGACAACTTATGAGAAGTTTTTTATGGTAGTAATAGAAAACTAACACAGGTGTCTACATGAACACCTGGTGGAGTGCCTACCTGAACACTTGGTGGAGTGCAGAGAACTCTCTAAATAAAGCCAGATACCTCAATTTATATAATTTGGGGGAAAAAAAGTGAAGGATATCTTAAAACACACACACAAACTTTAAAAAACACAGTGTTTGACTCATAAATCTAGGTTGAAGAGTAAATATATTTTTCTAATTGAGGTATAGTTGATTTACAATGTTGTATTCGTTTCAGGTGACAGCACAGTGATTCATACATATATATGTTTTCATATTCTTCTCCATTATAGGTTATTACAAGATATTGAATATAGTTCCCTGTGCTATATAGGTCCTTCCTTATCTATTTTATATTATTTATATATTTTTATATTATTTATTTTATATATAGCAGTATGTATCTGTTAAGAGTAGATATACATTTTTAAAGTTTTATTATTTATTTATTTCTATTTTTGGCTGTGTTGGGTCTTCGCTGTTGCACTCAGGCTTTCTCTAGTTGCAATGCACAGGCTCAGCAGTTGTGGCTCATGGGCTCTAGAGTTGTGATGCATGAGCTTAGCTGCCCCCCAGCATGTGGCATCTTCCCAGACCAAGAATTGAACCCATGTCCCCTGCAAGTGGATTCTTAACCACTGTACCACTGGGGAAGTCCACGAGTAAATCTATTTTAAATGAACAGAAGACTGCCCTCTCCTGCCCCTCACTCAGGTAAGGGCCCTCTGCAGGATCCGCGGGCCTGTTCTCGGACACTTTGTATGATGGCTTCTGGCCGCCTCTGTTTTCCCCTCTGGAAGGTGTGGCTCCCTGACTACAGGATCTGCCTAAATCGTAGTCATCACTCCTACTTCTCAGGGCTTAGCAGTTAATGTTTTCTGAATGAATCTTTTTAAAAAACAAACAAACCTTATATCAATTATCTGCTGCTGAAAAACAAACCATGGCAAATGTAATTACTTAAACTGATTATTTCTCGTGGTTCTGTGGGGGTACTGAGGGAATTCCTGTGCTTCCCATGGTGTTGGCTGGAGCTCCATGATGGTTGGCATGTCCAGAATGGCTTTCCTTACATGGTGAGTTCAGAACTGTTGGCCCTTTGACTTGATTCTCTCTGAGTGAATGAATGAATTCTTTAATGAAAATACACAGACTCAGATATCCAAACTGTAAAGAAACATATGAAAAAGTGCTCAACCTCACTAATCTTCAAAGAAATGCACATTAAAATCACCTCTTACCCATTAGAATGAAAGCTATTTAAAATAAAACAAACCAGGAAATAACAAGTGTTGAGGAGGTGGAAAAATTAATGTCCCATGCACTGTTGTTGGTGGGAATGAAAAAATGGTGTAGCCCCTATGGAAAACAGTATAGAAATTTCTCAAAAAATTATAAATAGAACTATCCAGCAATCCCATTTCTGACTATATACACAAGAGAATTGAAAAGTAGGATCTTAAAGAGATATTTGCACAACCATATTCATGGCAGCATTAATTGCAATAGTGGAAAGGTAAAAAAACCCCAGATGTCCATCAACAGATGAATGAATAAAGAAAATGTGGTGTATACATACAATGGGATATTATTCAGGTTTAAAAACTAAGGAAATCCTGTCACATGTTGCAACACAGATGAACTCTGAAGATATTAAATGAGGCAGTCATAAAAAGATAAATAGTGTATGTATGATTCTACGTACGTGAGCTAGCTAAAGAAGTCAAACTCATAGAAACAGAAAGTAGGATGGTGGAAGGGGGAGCTGTTGATCAGTGGATATTTTGTTATAAATTTTATAAAAGTTAGTTATTTTACCACTTTTTAAAAATGCATGCACACACATACATACTTTGCAACATCATTATATATCTCCATAATAACTAAAACAAACAATACAGATAATGCCAGGTATTGGAAGGGATATGGGTCTCTCATACATTGCTGGTGGGTGTATAAATTAGTCAACCACTTTGGAAAACTGTCAGTTTTTATCGAAGATAAACATACTCCTTCTCTATGACCCAGCATTTCCACTCCTGAGTCTCTTAAGTGTAGGCGTCCATCAGAAAACACATGGACACAAACGCTCATATTCATAGTGGCTTTTTTATAGTACTGGAAACAACTCAAATGTCCACAAAGAAAAGGATAAATAAATATATTGGTATATATTCAAACAATGGAATATGGCATTAAGTGGAATAAGGAAATAAAAAAGAATGAGCTACTGTAACACACTGACATGGATAAATCTCACACACATAATACTGAGCAGATGAAGCCAAACATGAAAGATTACATATCATGACTTCATATATAGGAAGTTCAAGGACAGACAAAACTTATCCAAGGTGACAGAAGACAGAACTGTGGTTCCTTCTGAGGGTTATTGACTACAATGCTATAAAGGAAGGTTGGAAATATCTTGGACATGCATACATACACAAAAATACATGGAGCCACACACTTAACATTAGTAGTTTTGCTGCATTATCAATAAAAGTACAGAAAAGTAGACTCATTCACTGAGCAAACTTAAATGTTGTCATATTTCTATACTCATAGTTAAGTGGCTTCAGAATAACATCATCATTTGGATGCCTTTTCAGTGTAAGCTAACCAGAACCCGTGAACCAGTGGAAAGGCAGAGGCAAAACAATTCATCTCGCCTGCTCCCCCATTTTACAGAGAAACAAACTGAATAAAAAGTGGGGTAGGTGGCCAGGGCTTAAGTTAGTGGCAGAGGCCAGGCCGAGAACTCAGATCTGAGACACATCATACCTGCCCCCCCACCCCCAACCATTTGCAGAAGAGGCTGGATTCTAACTGGCTCCCCAGCCCCATGCCTCCCTGGTGGTTCAGAGGGTAAAGAATCTGTTTGTAATGCAGGAGACCAGGGTTTGATCCCTGGGTTGGGAAGATCCCCTGGAGAAGGGAACTGCAACCCATTCCAGTATTTTTGCCTGGAGAATTTCTCGGACGGAGAAGGCTGGTAGGCTACAGTCCATGGGGCCGTGTGTCAGACTGAGCGACTAACAGTAACCAACCAGCCCCATGCTGGCTGTGGAGGGGGGCTTACAGTCTGAGGCCTGGCAAACGGCAGTTCCTGGAGACCAACCAATTGGGAGTTAGGAAAGTTAGAACTCAGATTGTGGCAGTTTTCACTGATAATAGGTTAAGTTGAAACCTCTATTGGGGTCTGAGAGAAAAATAAGAGCCTGTGGTTTCAGGAAGGCGCTCGAGCAACCAGAAAGGGCTAAACACAAAGGAGTCCTAAGGGCCAGGATGGAAAGTGAAACTTACAAGCTCTTCCTTTGACCTTGGCCAAGGTCGTTTCCTCTGGTCTCACCTGTCCTGTTCATTCAATGGGGGAAAGTCCCATTTAAGGCCCAGGGAACTGAAGAAAGAAGGCAGACAGAAGGGCAGCACTCAGTCTGGTGCCGACCCCCAGGCGGTCAGCGCCCCAGGCGGGCGGAACCGCAGGAGGGGAGCACGGGAAGTCGCCCCCGGGTGCCCCAGCAGCGAGAGAAGGGCTGCAACTGGCGAGCGACTGGGTGAGGCGGGGGTGGGGTCGGAGGAGGGGTCCTCCGCCGGTGTCTGTCGCCTCCTGCCGAGGTCAGGGCGCCCCCTCCTCTTCTCAGACTCCTCCGGCCTCGCCCCTCCCGCTCACATTCCCAACTCCCGAAGACAACTTGTCGCTCACTTCAGAAGCCCGGGGCTTCTTTCTGTCCACCCCGACTCTGCTTTCTCCCACTTCTTTTGTCTATTTCTGCATTTGACCGCTTCTCTGGGAAGCTCTCCTCGAATTCTCTTCCCTATAGTCTGTAATACGCTCCCCACTCCCCACCCCCACTCCCACCCCCACCTCGCCTTTGCCTCCCTATCTCTCTCCACACACACACACACTCACGCACACACACTCTCACACCCTCTCTTTTCTCTGCCGGCCATCTCGGCGCCTCTCCTCTGCGGCCCTGCCCTTCCAGAAGCAGGCGAGGCCCATTCTGGGAGCCGCCGCGCTGCGATCCGACAGCGCCCCGGGGAGGAGGGGCAGGTGAGACCGGCGGGAGCCCGGCCCGGGCGGACGCGGAGGAAGGTGGCACCCGCGCGGACCCGCCGCCCCGGCCCCGTCCTCGCCCCCGCCCCGCGCCCCCGCCACGCTCGCCGGCGCCAGGGGAACCAGGACGCACGGGTCCCTTCGCGCCCCCGCGCCGTCGGCGCCGCCGCCCCAGACCTAGACGCTGCTCCCGGAGGCCTCCCAGGGCGGGGGAGAGGGCGGCAACCGGCAGCAGCCTCACCACAGGCCCCGGCGCCGTCACCTCCGTCTCCAGGCTCGGTCGTGCCCACGTCCCGGGTTCCTGCAGCCTTGGAAGACGCGCGGAGGACGGCGCGGTCCGGAGAGGTAGGTAGACGCTCCCCGCCTCCCACCGGCCGCCGGGGGCCGGGACCACGCAGTTCGGAGCGGCGGCGCAAAGAGGCCTCTGGGGATGGGCGGCCCCCCGGCCGCACTTTGAGCGCCGAGAGGCCGCGGCGGCGGTAGATTACCCGGGGCCACCAGCTCACCTTGAGCTCTGGACCGATCCAGCCTCCCGGGTGGGGTCTGGGGCGTACCCGCAACGCCTGCTCCCCAACCCCCGCTGGCTCCCCCCCGACTCGCTCTCCCGGCGAAGGTGTGTGTAAGGGGGCAGAGAATCGCCTCCCATCCTTCCCGCGCGCCGCTGGCTCCCCGCTGCCGGGTGCTGAGTGCAGCCTTGGGCCCTCTCCGCGGGGTCTCCCAGTTCAGAGTCGCGGATTCCAAAAGGAGAGAGACAGAGTCAGGGACCCGCGGCTCCGACCGGTCTTGTGGGCGGGGGTCGCTTGGAAAGGGACAGTGGTTATTCTTTCTCCACGGAAATTAGAAATTGGCCTGAAACGCTGCTTTCGGATGGGAGCCTCCAGGCTCCCCAAATGCAGACTCAGCTGTCACTCCAGCAGCCCCCTAAAAAGGATGAAGGGAGAATGGGGAGAGTCTTGCTTCAGACTCACTTGCCACGTAGGGAGGGGACCAAGATTTCGTTGCCCTCCGGACTGTGCTGAGGCTCCCAGGGCCTTCTGCCTAGGAGAGCCTGTGTCTGAATCTGAAGGGATGCTAGGCGCCGCCATCTTATTAGAAATTCACACTCACAAAATGATGCGTGTGCATTTTTGTCCAGGGGCTTGTTGTTTATGGGAGGGGGCAGAAGTCGGAGAAGGGATCTCAATCTGTATGGACTGGGCCAATACAAAATTACTCGCCTCTGAAAAGGCATGTAGAGAGAAGCAGGCATCTTTATGGGGCTGCATGGTGGGTATTTCAAGGTCTTCTAGGAATTGGTAACTCTTAGGAGTCAGAGAGCAATCCTGGGTCAGGGCAGCTGTGCCTCTGAGTATTAAGCCATCCTGTAAAGGTTGAGGATAGAGGATTCATGAAAACATGCAAAAGAGACAGGAAATTATGTTTTCCCAACTATGCTCAGCAATAAAGGTACAGGAAATTCATATTTTCACCTATATACGCTCCCCTTCAAAAAAGAATGGTACACAGTATATTTCACATATTCCATGTATGTTAAATGTGGAAACATATGACAGAATCGTACTTTCCAGTATTAGTAGAAGCACAAAGACCCATAATGGGGAGGGGTTGTTCCCTTAGAGAAAGTCCGGATTCTTGGAGGAAGGGAGTTTGGTGGAAACTCCTTTATAACACTGTAGTCAACAGGGAGTTCAGGGCTTTTCCTGCTATGACCTTTCCTCTAAATTCCCCATTTCCCTAGACTCTGGAGCACTTGGCTCCAAGTCGAGAGAGGCCTCCTCACTCCCCCAGCCCAGAAAAATGAAGCCTCTTTCTACTCTCAATCATATCGACCTGGGCTCCCAAGGAGGCAGTTGCTCTTAGCCATGGGTTTAGAGCCACTACCTCAATACACACATACCTCATAAACAAGCAGTGTGCCCCAGAGAAAACCCGAGGAAAGACTTGACTAGACCCAGGCAAGGCACCACAGGAGACCTTGGAGACCCTTAAGAGCCCCACACTCTTTCACACTGCAGTTGAGGAGACCCAGACCCCTACCCCTACCATCCCCAGAGGATGGTTCTGCCTTCTCACTGCCTCAGAGACACTGACCCCATGACTCAGTCAGCTGAGAACTTAGTCTCTCACCCACCCTGCCTCCAACTTCTCTTCCTGGCCTGATTAAAACAGGCATCAGCCTTCAGATGCTGTTGGATTAGAAAGAGAGGTTGATTATTTTAATCTGTTAGAATCTCTCCCTCATTTTCTCCTCCCTCATCACTCTCTTACTCTTGGGTTTTGTCTTCTCTTTCTTCTCAAACATAGAAAGACAGAAGAATCCATAGGTTTTCTGAACTCAGAGGGACTATTTGACCCATCCAGGCAGCACCCAGAACTGATCTGAAGCACCAACTCCTCACAGGAGACCCTGCCCCGCGGTGCTTTAGAGGTTAGTTTGATTCCACAATGCCCCTCATCCCAAGATCCAAAGGCACCATCTTCCTTAAGAGGAGCTAAGGATTTGGGGCTTCTGCAGTTTTCAAAAAATAGGAAGAAGAAAAATTGCTGTAGTTATTCAGGTGGCCAGGTGTAGAGGGAGCAGACCTGGGCTCACAGAGAAATGAGTCCTCAGAGCTGACAGGATTGAGGGGCCAAGCCTGACAGACTGAGACTTGGTGGAGGCAGGTTTGACTCCTGACCCAGCCGGCAGGGGATGCTGGACTGTTCCCTGGGTGGAGCTGCGATCAGGGGACAGGTTCTTCTCCTGCTTTACTGCCCTAAGGGCCCCAGAGCTCCCAAATCAAGAATAACTGAAAGGAAAACATCCAGACTTGTAATCTGCTTGGCACCCTGACCTGTCCTGAAAGCAGTGAAGAAAATCTGCCTTCATGGCTGACTGGCAACTTTGCGTGCTCCATTTTGGCAATATGTGGATGAGTGTCCGGTGCTCAGTGTCTAGGACACTAGGCCGCAGGGTGGGGCCTCTCACCTCCTTTCTCCATGCCCTCCATGCTTCTTCTCCTCCCAGAGCTTCTCACGCGATGACGAAAGCTTTCTTGTAGAGCCATGAAATCCCACAATTTCAGCGGATTTCAGAGTCCTTGACCATTAGGTCAACAACTCCTATTTGGACTCATCAGAGAACTTAATATCTGGAAAAGTCCAAGACCAAATACGGTCAGTTAGGTCTCCACTTTTTTCTGTTTGGCTTATAACTGGGTGCTTACCAGGTCCACCTCCTGCGAAAGTACCCAGGTTAGTGCTCCTCTCTCACCACTGTCTGTAAGGAGTAGGACGAAGGGCAGTGGGGCTTTCTTAGGAAGATGCCATAGTGGCTGCCCTCAGCCCACTTTCCATTCTTCCTCCTCTGTCCCCACCTCAGCCCTGGTTACAAGGAAAACAGCCTCTACCTTGCAGGGGTAATTAAGGCCAAAGCGCCCCAACCCCATCCCATCTTGGGACGGCTCTGAGTCACCCCCTTTTCATTCCGGGCTACAGTGCAAAGCTGTCTCGGCAGGAGTGGAGGTGAGGGCTTAATCCCAAATTAACTGGATAATAATGAGTAACAATAATGAGAAAAATAACCATGAACTCCTGAGCCTCTACCATCCTGGAAAGTTCCTCCTTAACCTACGGTGGAAGCCCCCGCCCCACTGGACTCGAAAGGACTGGTCAGAATGCCCGAAACTCTTCTGGAGCGAGGAGTCAACATCCAGGGACCTTGTCCTTTGAAACAATAAAAAGGAAGCGGGTCCAAATTTCTACTCGTTAAACCTCTTACCTCTTCGCCAATCCGTTAGCTCCTTGGCCCCGGTGAGCCGGGATTCTGAGCTCTGATGTGAACCAGGGGGAATGAGGCTCCACAAGTTGCCGCGGCTCCAGGGAGAGAGTGCGCACTGCAGTGGGACCAGGTCTTCTGGGGACTGGGGTGGCTGGAGAAGCCGTGGCGGAAGGATTTGCCTCCGTTACGCACCTCGGTCCCGACTCCGGACGTATTTGGGACTGCGCGGAACACACCAAGTCCTATCTAGGGCTCCCTGGCGCTGGGCCAGCGCGGCGGCCCCCGACGGCGCGGATCCTGCGGTGCTCGGCTGGGGATCAGCACCTTCGCCTCCCGGCTGCGCGCGGGGTGGAGTTCTCAGTGCCCGGGCGCTGGCCTGGTTGTGGGCTGGAGGAGAGGAAGGTCGCCAGGCCGGGAGGCGGCCGAGCCGGAGCCGCAGAGTTGGCGTCCGGAGGAGGGTCAGGGGCACCTCGGGATTCCGCGCGCCACCAGCCGCATCGCCGACCGCCCAGCCGCAGGTTGGCGCCGCTGGGGTGGGATCTGGAATCCTGGGAGGGTCTAGCACCGAGCCTCGGCACGCTGGAGGCGGGAGCCTGGCTGAAAGATTAGAAATGAGGCTTTCAAACCCGGCAGAAGCGTCCGGAAATGGCATGTTCGGAGCGAAGGGAGGTCGCAATCACAAGGTGACCCCCTCTTCCCCGGGACGCCTCAACGCCGAGGGACTGTAGGTGCACCACCTCCGCGGTCTAAGGCTAGGCGACGCGGTGGAATGGGGGCTCCGTCCAGCCTCCATCTCAGGGAGCGACTCCCCCTAAGGACTGTTGGCGATCGCACGGACGGAGGCTGGGGCGGGGGGCCCTTTCCAAGGGAGAGTGGTGTTCTCGCTCTCCTGCTCCGAGGGGGCGTGCGTCCTAGTCTCTGGGTCCCCGCGCTCAGCCGCCCCTTAGGAACAGTCCATTTGCTCCCTCCCGGCCGCCCGCGTCACTTGCCCCCATTTCCTGGCCCGGGATTTCCCCTCCCCTGCCCTTCCTCACTATAATTAATAAACGAACCGGCAAAACCTGCCGGGTCCCAGCGTTGGGGCACCTCTCTCCTCTCGAGCAGGCTGATTAATTAATCAGAGCCTTAAGGAGACCTAGGAGTTGCAAGAGGCGGTTTAGAACGAGGGGCCGCTCATTAACCTCCCTGTAAAGATGGGAGGAAGACGCGCCCGGCCGCCTCCGAGGCCCCTCTGGTCCTTCTCTGCACGCGGGTTTCGGCCTCTCCACCTGCGCGCCGCGCTCCAGCTCCCGCTTTCCTGCCCGGATGCTTCACTTCGCTCTTTGTGATTCTCCATCTTCTCTCTGGCCTTTCCCTGGTGGCTCAGACAGTAAGGAATCCGCCTGCAATGCAGGAGACGAGGCCCCTTTCTTTGTGTCTGCTTCCGTCTACCTGTCCTGCTGAATCTCGCGCCCTTCCCCGCGCCCAGCCTGGACCAAGAGAACTTTAAGGTCATGGCGAGTGGCCCCGGCTAGCGGCTGGCGGTGTAGGCTTCCTGGTCTCAGACGAGGCACTATAGGCCTGGCTGGAGCTGAGGGAGCTGAAGATCAGGGCAATATTCCCCTTCCCGATCCCATCCCCCCAAGAGGAGGGCGTTAGTGAAAGGAAAACAGATCCTGAAACTTTTGGCTCTCTTTCGGTATGGACAAGGCAGCAAATGGCTGAAGATCCAGGCTCCAAAGGAGTAAAGCTCCATTTCATTTTTATTATAGACACACAGACCTTGCACATCCTTCTTCGTAGGCAAGGGTGCACACAAGAGGTGGGGACTGGGTGTTGTGGGCTCCCTGTCTCAGTCCTGGGGTCCTCAACCCCTGTGAGCATGTACCTCTTGTGGAAGGCTATCCATGTGACCTTGGTACACACAATTGTTTGTCGGCTCCTTTAATTTATCTTGTCAGTTACTCAAATCTATTTCACTGCCTCCCTCAGCATCCTGTTTGTGATACTTGTTTGTGAATAGTGAAGGAAATGGCAAGCCACTCCAGTAGTCTTGCCTGAAAAATCCCATGGACAGAGAAGCCTGGTGGGCTAAAGTCCAGTGGATCTCGAAGAGTTGGACATGACAGCCATTTAGCACAAGCACAAGTGAATAAAAAGTTCCTAGCATTTTGGGGATCACTTGCCCATACTTTAAAATCTGATTAAAAAAAAAAAAGCTGTTGCTTTCCTTCTCCCCATGGGAAAAAAAAAACGCACTGATATATTACTCACCAAACCCCACAATTTCAGAGGGTTTCAGGCCCTTTGGACCCCAGGTTATGAACTCCTATTTAGATCAGTTAAAGAAGCTAGTGTCTGGAAAATACTGAGACCAAATACGGCCAATTAACCCGGGTCTTCACTTCCCCCTGTGGCTGCTGTCTCGGTGTTTGCCAGGCCAGCCTGCTTCCCTCCCCACCACTACTGGAGGTCTTGGTTCCCAGTATAGCTGGTCTTTCTTCCCTCCCTGGATCTGTATGCTTGAGAAAGTGTGGAGAAACTTTGGTGGGGTGCTGGGAGAAGCAGATCTTGGACCCCACCCCACCCCCCCCAACCAAGAGTGGGACCAACTGCTGGAGGGATACCAGGCTTGACCAGCCTCCCAGGAAATAAGAAACATGCTGGAACTCCTGGGAAGGCTGTTTGACAGCAACCCCCTAGATAATGCTGTCTTTGAGCCCTGCAAATGTTCTTTTGTGTCCCTGATCTACCTATTAGGTTTTGTTGGATATCCCAACTCTGTGGGGCTGGAGACAGCCAAGGTTAGAAGCTGGGGGTGGGAGGGGGCGGTGGTGGATACCGGACACTGAGCTAAAAGGGGGAGACATTAGCTCCCAAATGTTTTTGTAATCCTTATTAGGAGCCAAGAAGCAGGTGGCCCCTGACAAGCCTCAGAGACCTCCTAGTTTCATCTAAACTCACTCGATGTTTGAGACTTGTTTAGACTTTATTCTTTCTCTCCACTTTATTCTTTCTCTCCTGTCTATTAACAGTAAAAACTTCCTGGCCTTCTCTTCACTCCTTTGAGTTGACCAAACCATACCTCCCAGAAGAAAAATAAGGTTTCTCTGGGGTCTGGGAGGTGAAGAAACTTCCTTCTTCTTGGACGATGTTCAGACAAATTAAGGCAACTGGAAATTATTGACTTTATTGCACCCTCCCGCTATACACACACTCCACCCCTCAACTGCCTACACATTTCAAGCATATGTAACTGTGGGCAGGGAAGATCCCAAACCACTCCTGGTTGCCCCTCTCTGAACTGGCACAACCACCACCTACCAGCTGCAGCAGTTCTGGGCTGGAACAAGAAGCCAATGTTTGGCTAATAGTATTCAGACCCCTGCCTGAAAATAAAAGAAAAAATAAACCATTTTCTGCTTGGGACAACTTAAACTGAATAATTCTGGCTGTGAACACCTGACCTAAATGCTTTTAATCAGAGCAGAAGAAATATATGACTGTTTGTTCTCTCCTTTACTAATTAAAAAAGCTAATTGATGTTCTTAAAAACTTCCAACTGAGGGTCAGGAGCCTGTAGTCATCTCTCCTCCCCTCTTCACGCCCCTCTGCCCCACCCCTCCCCCCACAAGGCCATCCCCACCGTGGAGTTGGCCTCTTTCTGACAGACAATGGGAGGGATGCCCAGACCATCTGGCTCCTCCCCTGCATGGGGACTTTGGCTCTGAAAAGGCAATGCTGCCATTGGCCAGAAGTTCTTGCCCAGCAGGGTCGTCCCCCTTCCCAGACCTCTGGACTAGTTTCTGAGAGCAGAGACTTCTGGATGACTGCAAGTCAGCAAGGCTAACTGGTGGGGGCAGCTCCCACTGGAGCCCTAGAGCTCAGCCCAGCGCTGGGCACACAGTGGGCACTCAGGAAATGTTTGTTGAATATGGAATGAAAGTTCCCACCAGGCAAAGGTCTGTGGCTTATCTGGGGAGCCTCTGAGGCTGGTTCATCAGGGAGCTCCAAGGCCTCCTGGCTGCCCAGGAAGCAAGCAAGACCTGGTTTTTCTCAAGCATTTCTCAGATGTTCTGTTTTAATTTCAGCTTTCTGGGGCCTCTGTTTCTTTTCTACCCGTTCTCTAGGGCAGGCTCTTGCTCACTGCAGCAACGGGAAAAGGCTCATTGAGAAGTCAGATGAGAATATACCACCACTCCCCAGACCTTTCCCCCACCAGATTCAGATACTTCAGGCTAAAGAGAGTTTGAACCTGAAATGAGCCAGATAATTGCCCCAATTCTCTGTTGCTTATTGAAGAGGTAGTTACAGGCCAAGGGGTTCAAGGGGCCTCACTTTTATGGACATGGCTGTAAGTCAAAAGAATACATTATACATATACAGGCTGAGATGCACACCCTCCAACCTAGACTGGTTCTCTGAGAACAAAGCAGATTTCCTCCTCTTTCCCTGGCTCCTCTCTCCTCCACCTCTTTTCTCCTCCTCCTCCTGTTACTAACAGTTCCTCTTTACTTCTTGTTCATTAGGCATTGTGCTAAATCCTAGACATGTTGTACATTAATTAAACCTTACAACAATCCAAAGAGTGAAGACTTCCAGATTTTGCTGATGCAAAGAAACTTACTTTTCCAGGCATGAAGCGTGTGCGTGTGTGTGTGCGTGATTATGAATAAAATAATGTTGATGTGATACTGGCAGATCTGAATGCTCAAGTGGCACAATGAGGATGGAAATGAAGAACAATGACAATGAATAGATCTTAAAAGTTTTTGAAACTTGGAATATTTTCATAGAACACAGTTCCTCCTGCCCTAAAATGAACAAAGAAGTGCTGCAATTAACTGGCTAATTCCGAGCCCCAAATGCTTCCCCTTGAAATGGGCGGATAATGAGGCCCACAGTATGTTCGCAGTTGAATTCGCCTGATGTTGCTCCATTCCCCCCCACACACACACAACTTTTGCAAATCGATTGGGCAATCACAGTGAGATGCGCAGACGCTACCCGCACAGACTCACACACATACACTCACACACACAGGAACGCTGACACACACAGACCCGACTTTATCCTGCCTCCGGAGTCTTTTATGACTCAGCCTCAGGAATGAAAATAGAATTCGGAGCAGAATAATGTGCCCGAGGCCGACTGGGGCGCAGCTGCTCCAGATGTGCGCTCAGTAATTAGGCCTCCGCGAGAACCCCTCCCTGTCTGGGAGAGCAGCGTCCCCGGGAGCCCAGACCTGGGCAGGCGCTGCATCCCGCAGTCTCCTCCATGGTAGCCCGTGCCCTTTGCTGCTGTGGCCCCAGCGGCCCCCTCTCTTCTTCCCTCCTTTTCCCACAGGGGAGTCTCTGGGAATTCTGTCCGAAGACTAACTTTGGAGAAACTTCTCTTAGAGGGCTCTGCAGTATAAAATGATATCTCTGCTTTGGGAGAGAGCAACCCCAGTTCCTCCCAACCTCCTTTTCTCAGGTTCTGGATGTCTCTGAACTCAGGTTCAGAGGGACTGGGTCCTGAACAGGCCTCTTTTCCCTTAAGCATAAGTGAAATTCGCTCAGTCTGGTCTGACTCTTTATGACCCCATGGACTATACAGTCTATGGAATTCTCCAGGCCAGGGTACTGGAGTGGATAGCCTTTCCCTTCTCCAAGGGATCTTCCCAACCCAGGG